CATTAAGTACATTATTTTCTTCTCCTCTGTATGAAAGTAGCGATCTCTCTTCATTTTGCTGTCATATTTTCAACTTTGAGAGTTGCAATCCTTAGGACTAGCTTCTTAAGCTCTTTTCGCCTTCCCCAAGGAATGCTTCTTATCTGTTTTCTATATTTCGTCTTTCCATGGTTTAAGCCAGATTTTTACTGGCGGCTGTTCTTCCTGACGCAAACCCTTCTATTTTATCCAGGTTTGGGACTGGCACTGATAGTTACTGAGCTACTCAACCCACCCAGTCACTATCATAGCCAGAGATATAAGATATGTTAACACTAAAAATCCTATATTCTGGGATCTATATCACCTCCAAAATTTGTTAGAACTAGCTGGTTAGGTAATTTTGAGGAAACTAAATTTATGGCAAACTCGATTATAAACAAAAACACAAGAAGTAATAATAATACAAACCTTTTACAAAATAGACACTTATAAATCGCTGGAAAATAAAATGAAAATATTAAAAAAATCACACAGATCTAACATACAGATGTGGTATCCGAATTGGCTACTTTTCTTTTAAAGCTAACTTTAAAGCTGGTGCACGACTAAAGAATAACCCCAACTTGGGAAGATAAAGAACAAACAATTAAGAAGACTATACTGATGCACTGATAGTTAAAATTGGAAAGGGCGTGTCAAGCGTCCTATTGAATAATATTAAAACAATTGGAAATCTTTATTAAAACTACCAGGTGAAAGTCAAATTAAATGGACAACTTACTGAACCTATAAAGAGAGAACCTAAGAGGATACAAAATGAGGAATAATAAAATTAAAATTTTCTGTTACTCAGACAATCCAATATTGATAGCCAAAAATGAAGATAGTCGTCAAAGACTAGTTCCCGGATTTAACACAAGAGCAAAAGAATTTAACAAGGCGATTTCAATTTACAAAACTAAAACAATAGTAAGCGGTACAGAATCAATAAGATGCAAACTGAAAGTCGTTTAAGTTAGCATTATAATAAAATAAATAGATTGGCAGGATGTCTTAATAACACAATAATGACGTATTCGACACAATACCATTGAGACAAAAACAAGAATATTTAAGGCGTGTATAAGATTAATAATGACGTATGCATCAAAAATAAGACTCGATAGAGCCAGAAAAAACACAAGAAGATATTTTAATAAATCAGGCTCAAGTAGACCTAATTATTAACACTTATTAACACCTTTAAAACTGAAAAACCGCAAAATGAAGATTTTCAAGGCTCAAAAAACACAAATAAAAAATAATACTTTTGAAGCCACCAAATGCTTCTCTTAGTTGGAGATAGAAATTCTGGGCTTATTTTATTTTAAAACATTGTGTTTTAATTGTTACCGTTACAGACTTGGAAACGATCAAGTTTACAGGTAAATTATAATATATCAATTTTGTTCAGAATGACCCGCGAAATCTAAAAAAAATTGTACGGTCCAAAAAATGAATTGTTATAATTTGTTTAAAAAACAACAACAAATGTGTTCACACAAATGTGTTCAACAACAAAAAATTTAACACATTTTCGCATAGGCGATCTCTTGAACCATAGTTTGGGTTATATCATAAAAGTGATTGTGATGTAAAAAAACCTTATGGAAATATTTTTCCAAAAGAAACCGAGCTTTTTGCCTTGTCAATTAATTAATTACATTTTATGTTTCACTAATCACTGACTAATTACTTTGATTGATAAATAATGCTATTGGGACACACAAACCGAGAATACCTATTCGGACACACATCACTACATCTGTACGCTTTGAAAGACAAACGAATTACTGGTTTAACTAAAGTAGGTAAACTTATTTTTGTTGTGCTATTATTGCGGATATTTTCATTATCCTCCTACGTGGATTTGCAAAATTGCTCTGCACGCTCTTTATAATCAAGTGTATCGATCATGATTTAACAAATATTAATCCGTGGTTGCAGTGGATGACTAGCAAAAAATTATTACCCTAATAATCATTGTTCAATTTTTCACATGTTAAAAATAATATTATATTTTTCGCTGTATTAATTCCTTTAATTCTTAATCTTAATATTAAAAATCATTACCTTAGTAATAATTCCTACTCCAAAGCTTAGCAGTACTTCTTCAATTTCAATTTTCAATTATTTTTCTCACCTAACTTAATATACAACACATGCTTAAATCTAAGGGCTTACCCTATAACTTACTCTTATTTTATCTATCAAGTAATACACTACAACTACCATCCAATAATATCACAGCACTATACTCTGCTTTTTACACTAAACTGTTAAACATTTACAGAATTACATGTGTCTTTTCTTTAGTTCAGTGTTGTCTAGAAGCTGGATTCCCTCGACATTCACAAGACTACGCAGCCTCTGCTGTTCTCTTGATTATTTTGGTCACAGTTTCCATACCCAAGTCCTGGTGGAGGTTGCTGTTACAGATATACTAAGGAGTATCAACAATATTCCTTAGTACTTTTTTAAATCTCTGGATAATATGTAGTTTACTAGCTTTGGTACAGCCCCAGAGTTGGCACCCATATACCCATACTGGCCTCAGTACTTGCTTGTAACTGGATAACGTATTGTGAATGAATAATGTTGAATTTTTTCCAATTAGCCAATACATTTTCCTATATCAAGCTCACATATTTTCTTTTTTACATGGACTTTCCAGGGCAGCTTCGCGTCTAGGGTGATGCCCAAATGTTTTGCTGATGTTGCATAAGGAACTTGGGTATCATTTATTCTAATTATTAAATTTTCTATTTTTTTATTAATGTGTTAATGTGTGCAGATCTGGTCTCATTTAATTTTATTCGGCATTTTCTGGTCCAGGTATGTATTGTATTTACTGATATTTGCAACGCATCAGTCACTTCTTTACTAGTGTCTCCTATCGATACTATGGCTGTATCATCTGCGAAGATGGCACTAGTGTCTTTTTCTAGCTCTGAAATGTCTCAAGTATACAATAGGTACAGGAGTAGACCTAATACACTCCCTTGTAGCACGCCAGCTTTGATCTCCCTTAAATCGATGCACACTTATTCTTGTTCGCAATGTATGATTCTAAGATTTCCAAATACTATTTAGGCATGAGCGTTCTTACTTTAAAATTTAAACCTTCATGGACGTAGCACGTGCGTTTAATAAAAAACGCCTGTGCTTCGTCCAAGAAGATTGTAGAGCAGACCTTCTTTTCTTCTAATGTTTTTTATAATATATTCGTTATTCTGTGAACTTGACCTATAGTGGAATGTTTATGTCTGAAACCAAATTGATGATTTGGTATGATTTTTTCTTTTTAATACTGGTGCTAATCTTTTCAACGCAAAGAACAGAGAAACTGTTACTAGCAACAGAAATGGACTTCTGGAGAAGAGCAGCAGGCAAATCAAGAAGATATCGGATACCAAATGAGAGAATACGAGAAATGATTGGAGTCAAGCATACAGTAGTTGATGGCATTAAAACAAAACAGTTAATATGGTACGGCCATGTACAGAGAATACCAGATGACAGGATTCCAAAACAGATTTTGACGTGGACACCACAAGGGAGAAGGAAAAGAGGAAGACCCAGAAGAAGCTGAAGAGAGAGAATTGTAAAAGAACTAGAGAAAAGAGAAATCCCTCCAGGCCTATGGTTGAATAGAGAAGAATGGCGGTTAGGAGTAGGAAGGCGTCGGAGAACGCTGTAAGCCGATAGTAGTAGTATCTTTTCAATAAAAGTTTTTCAAATAGTTTTGACATTGCGGAAAGGAGTGATATTGGTTGATAGGATGTCACTTCATTAGGTTGTTTATCTGGATTGGCGATAATAACTTCGGCTATATTCCAGAGTCAGCGAATAAATTATCTCAATCTAAAAGCAGCATTTATTAGGTGTGTCAGCTTAACTATGGCTTTTTTTAGTAGATGTTTTAATCGCTCTTCTGTTATGAGATCATATCCTCGAGCTTTTTTAAGATTTATATTGTCTTTTTCCTCTCTTGATAGTTCTCTAAATGATGTCAATGATATCCTCTCTTCGATATGGAATGGTTCTTTCCATCTCAGTTCTTCAGCATCATTGTCGTTGAGATTGAACATACTTTCTAAATGATCTGCAAATATTTCTGCTTTCTGGTCGTTACTTTTAGCCCAGTTGCCGTTTTTCAACTTGATAAGAGGATAATGAATAATTGGCCTCTTCATACTTTTTGTTGCCTTCCATAGCGAATAATCTGTGTTCTGGTTAGCTGTTATATTACTTAAAAAATAAACTCTAGAATTTTTTATATTCTGTTTCTTCCTTTTTTAGTTTTTGTCTATCATAATTTAGCCTAGTTTTGTCTCGTGGAGACAAAATGGTATTGCTGCCATTTTTTTCTTAACTTTTTTTTATATTATGAATTATCTGATTTCTTTTAAATATGTGTTTCCTTTTGTTCTAGAAGTTATTTGTTTAATATTTTTTATAAAAACTTCTAATTTGTTATAAGTTGCCTGGTGTTTCTCAATGCCACAGCAAGATTTATTTTGTGTTCAAGGTTTATGTTAAAGCTCTCCCAGTCAGATTTTTATTAGTCAATATTGGATTCTAGAAAATGAAAAAAAAAACTACCTCTTGACTGTTGACACACGGTAGCAACAGACATCTTTCTCATCTCCCAAGATGTAATAGGCCAGCCGTTATAAAAAAAATGTGCTAATAGCACAAACAGTCGCTTTTTAAGCTACCGTAGAACAAAATGCGATTACTAAACCTGTAATAGTTGCATCGACTGTGTTTTTTAACATTTCTTCCCTCCAAATATTCCAAGGAACCAATAGTTTGGTTTAAATTCAAGATATCAATCTTGATATTAATAAATTATTATACCGTTTGTTGTCTGTTAAAAAAAATAGTAAAATACCTTTTAATTGTGATATTCATTTTTACATTTTTATTTTAAATTAAGAAATATCTAAACAATTATTAAATTTTTATTATTTTAGTGCTGGGCAAATATTCAGAAAACTGACAATGTAGCTCTAACCAGATTTGAATTTCAAAGAAGTTCTGATTGGTTACCATTATTTGATAATAGAGTCAGTGCTCCAAACAATTTTAAAACAAATAATATTACATACAAACTAAAAGAAGACACTGAAATGGTAAGTAATAATATTATTTCCTATAGCATATTCCTAAATTCTATTTACCAGTTCTATTTTTTAATTGTTATATTAACATACCCAAACTTTTTTATTAAAAGTTTAGTATTTAAGAAATGGTTACATTAGTAACGTAAGCTAAACGTCAATGGAAACGATCTATAACTGCTTAGGTTTAGTTTACTTCACATTACTTCGAAATGTAAGGCAAACTCTAGAATTAAAGTAATTTGGCGGAAGTAAAACAAAACATTATAATATACATTTATACATTTAGATCATATACATATACAAAGGCACAAATTTCTAATAACTGATTCAGCCGATCTCCTGATATCCTGATTCAGCCGATCAAGGTACTAAAAGCAGCGAGAATACTATTGACGATCAGGTGTTAGATATTCCTGATGTACCAAAGTACCAGGTGAAGTAGAAATTCATGCTTATGAATCATCCGACGAGGATAAGGAAGAAAATATCAGTTAAACGTATTGGAACAGTGGGAATGTTAGAATTCAAGCTCAAGCTCACACATCACCAAGAGTAGGCAATAAGCAGTTGCGCAAATCTAGAGTTCGAAATTTTTTCATTATTTTTCACACCTAAAATAATTTAATTTACTAGTATCAATATCGAACTCTACGCGCAGAGAGATGGATAAAAATATTTACCACTTTACTGTTTCTGAGAAATAATTTCGCCAATTTTTTGGGTTACTTTTGATAAGTAGAATATCATCATGTTCCTTCTGAGGATGATTAGTGGTCTACTGCAGAAGATATGCATATAAAGATAAATATATGAAGATATACGATTTGATGGAATAAGTCAAATTTGTAGAGGTATATAAAAAGGAAGATGTACTGTACCTATGCCAAGGAAACACACGCTTAGAATGATGTAAAAACTGTGAACATAATTTTTTTTTTGATAAATATCTGTTAAGTGCTTTGTTATTAGTTGACCTATAGATGCCAACGTTCCCAGTTTGGGAACATTTTTTTTTCTCTGAAAACAGAGTATTATATTTTTTTGCAAAATAAAATGTTAAAAGATACTCCAATAACATGTTTTATACGGATATTTGGGTTTTTTTTACAGTTTTAATGCTTCAGAATTTAAAGGGTTACAACTTTATTTTAACAAGATAAATATACAAACAAGCTCATTTTTACATATACATATACACATATACATAAATACAAGTACAAGTATACAGTATTTTTGGTTAATTTTACTTTCAGTGTTTGTTGCTTTATCCACAGAATGAGAAACTACGTTATCTCTTTTTGCTATAACATATATTGATAACCAATATCTAGGTATTGTACAATTTAACTGTTTGTAGATTGAAATGCAGTTAGAAAAACAGCTTAAAAGAAAATTTTCCATATTACGACAACTGGATAGGACTATATGGAATAGTGGACTATCAAGCGTATTGGCAAACTTTTTAAGAACTTTTGAACTGAATTGCATGTATAATAAAAACCATAGAGGAAACGATACACGAGCTATACGAGGAAATATCACAATATAAGGTAAGCACAAAAAATGAAAAACAAGTACCACACCCATTTTCATTCATTTATTTAGTTTTATTTTTAAATAAAGAGCATTAGCAAAATATTTTTGGTTCAGATTGTATCTATGTTTTTTATGGTTTTACGATTACTCTTACAGTGGGACTTATGTCTAATATTTAAATCATGCAGTGTTTTTTTTCGATCAATTTTTTTGTTAATATGTCTGGTTTTAATGCCCATTTCCTCTCATAGATACGCCTGACGCTCATAAGTGTTGTAACGGCACTGCTTGTTATTTCTAATTGAAATAACAAGCAGTACCGAGATACATAAACCTCTCACAGCTTTAAAGGACCTAATCCCTCTAGTTTCCGTCAGCATGTGCAGGCGACTATGGTGCATTTGTGGGAACTTATATTTAGCCCCTCTCTATAAGTCCATTGTCTCATATTGTATTTCTGACTAGCATATTGTACTTTCCTTGCTAAATGATTATAAAATCTTTCGCATATCCAATTTTGTTTTGTGACTATTTGCCTTTAAAGTTCCTATTAGTCTATGCATTATCTAATTCCACAGCAGTGTGGACAGAATTCTGTCCTGTGGACATCCTCTGCTGACCTGAGCCAACACGATCTCTCAAAGATGATATTTACCATTTTATTCCTGAGCATATATTCTATCTAGTTTCAAACATAAATGTCCTTGACTTCTGTGCATCTTAGGGCGTTGGTTACAGATGATATCGAAGTGTTGTCGAAAGCTCCGTTTATATCCAGAAAGGCTCCCAGCATCACTTTTTCTACGAGATTGTGGAGTGCTCGCTTGGTTTAATACTCTGCTTTATAGGCGTGTTTTTCTTGACGTACTGGAGTGTGCTATCTTTATCCTTAATATACCTATCGGGCAGTTTCTCTATTATCTTATGTAGGAATGAGAATTAAACTCATTTTGCTTAAAAAATTTGCCTTTTTCTGTCTTCTTATCCCCGATTTAGAATAAAAGTTACTCTTATTTCTCTCTATGCATTAGTTATGTACTCAAAGGCTATTTCTGAGTATGTACATTGCGTGTTATGCTGTATACATGTTTCGATCCCTTTTGTAATAACACTGGATATATGCCATCTATTCCTGGTGATTTATACGGCTCGCATGAATTTACTGCCTATGCTACTTTTTCATAGTTAACAATCATTTTGACAGTCTGCCAGTTAGTTTTTAAGGACCTTCGCAGAGATTTGTTGCCTACTGATTCCCAGTCAATTGACGATTTAACTATTTGTGCTCCATTAGTGCACCCTGAAGAGTGCACCCTGAAGAGTTCTTCAGCTGTGCCTCTTCCTGTATTGGTATACTTACCCTTGTCATTTAAGAGTGAGTTAATTGGTTTGTTTTCTCCTTTAAGAGCACCTTTTGAAGTCTAGCACAAGCAGTAGAGCTTTTAATTTCCTAACAGTGCTACTTTCACGTGTCTCTCTTGGCTTCTCTTATAGCTGTATAGTATTCCGTCCTTGTGGTTCTGTGTTCTTCTCATTCTTCGGTTACTTTGGCTCTAATGAATAGCTTTTCTCGTTTCTACCCTTGCATAGACAGTTCTTTATTCCACCATGGGAAACTTCCCTCCATTAGAAAACAGTTTCTTAGAATGCTGAAATGATAGCGTCATTTAAATCATTCACTGCTATTTTTAGATCTGTGCTATTTCTAGATCCGTGGTATTATTTATCGTTTTTCTCATCCTCAACAGATGCTGTTCTAAAACTGCTTTATAAGCCTCCCAGTTGGTTAAACGTAAGTTCCTATAAGTGACTTTTTCTTCTTTCCTCTCTAAGGTGTATTAAAAATATGTCTATAGTTTGAGTAGCTTTCCTCCTCAGATACAATATAAAATTTATCAGGAAATTTGAGACTATAGTAGTATATTGCTTTCTTTGTACTTTTGGTTATAAAAGTTGGGTTTTTTGTATACATTGAATATCTTCATTTTTTGTCATAATAAATTAAATTAAGGAGTCTATACTCAGTCCTTAGGGTAGCGGGTAGACACTTTTCTACGATCCTGGTGGAAAATAGGTCTACTTCAGGGAAACGACCCTGCCCACGCGAGCCATGCTTTGCTCTTAATTTCTTACTGAGAGAAATCATGTCCCATTCCTTTATCCTTCCAAAATCTAATTTCATACTTTCTATCCCTTCCTGGTGAAGGGCAAGCAGCGATCATCAGTACCAGTTCAGGGCGTAGAGGAAATGATTTTGGACCGGCTTGAAACTGGATTACCACAAGCATGACTCGAACAGTTTTAATGGTTGCTGCGAATGGGAAAGCAACTGGAAAACCATCCCATTATATTATCCACAAAGTAGATAAACAAAGTGGTAGACGACAAAAAGAAAATGGCGCTCAATCCGGAGCACCCCTTAAATGGGGAGAGGATGCGAAGAATCCTCCGTCAAATACCCAAGAAAGTGGACAGAGAATACAAATATACGACCGAATAGGACGCGTTGCCCACCTGGAACGTACGCAGTTTATTTATGTCCGGGAAACTGGCAAACACTGAAGCCGAGATGATAAGACTAAAAAAAAATCCATCTTGGGGATGAGTGAAATAAGATGGCCTGGTTCAGGAGTACAAAAAACAAAACATGAAACATATTATATATTTAGGTGGAAATGGCCCAGAATATCGATATGGAACTGCTATATTAGTGTTGAACAAAATTGCTGAATTAGTCACAGACTTCATCCCTCTAAATAATAGAGTAGCAATGTTGAAATTGCAAATAACTCACAGAAAACTAAATATTATTCAGGTCTATGCTCCAACAAGTGAAGTCAGACGAAGAAATCGAAAATTTGAAATAATGCGACTGACAAAAAGAGGTAAGATAACGATGATCATGGGTGACTTTACCGCTAAAGTTGGACGTGGTGATAAAGGAAATCACATAGGAGTATACGGTCTAGGTATCAGAAATACTAGAGAAGATAGACTTGTACAATTCTGCGAAAAAAAACAATCTGTTAATAGCCAATACCTTCTTCAAACAACATCCTAGAAGGCTATACACATGGAAATCACCTGCAGAGAGAAAAGACAAAATTGTTAGAAATCAAATTGACTTCATTTTGCTCAATAACACATTTAAGAAGTACATACAGTCTACGAAAACATACCCTGGAGCTGATATACATAGCGATCACAATCCAGTTATAATGGATTTTTAGATTAAAATATTTCTCAAAGTCAAAAGAAAACAGCGACAAGAAAAAAATTGACATCTCGCAAGTCAAAAACCTGAACAGAAAAAAAAAAAAGTATTAAACTTGAGGAAGAAATAAAAACGATCGAAAACTTGGTACAGACAGACATTGAAGTGACATGGACTGCTCTAAAAAACAAAAATAACAAAAATACAAGAAGAAGACATCGGGTACATAAAACACAACAAAAAACAAGAATGGATACCGCAAGAGATCATGAATCTCATGGACGTAAGAAGAAAACATAAAGCAAGCCCAATAGAATACAAGCGAATCAATAAAATCATTAGAAAAAAGTGCAGGGAGGCGAAAGAAAACTGGATGTCAACAAAATGCCTAGAAATCGATCAACTTCAAGAAAAATACGACACCTTTAATACAAATACGACAGACACAAAAAGAGACAAGCAACAATATTAAAAAATGAAAATAATGAAATAATTATGGGTACAGAAGACAAACTAAAGAGATGAAAAGTATACATACAAACTCTTTTTGATGACGACAGGCCTTGTTCTCCACTATCCACAGATAATCGAATAAACGAAAAAGGCCCAGAAATAACCAAAGAAGAAGTGATTCACGCAGTAAAATCTCAGAAAGATGGAAAAGCCACCGGCTCAGACAATATCAATGTCGAAATACTAAAACAAATTGCAGATAACGAAAGTAAAAGCCTAGACTTAATAACAGCACTATTCAATAAGATATATGACACAGGTAAAATACCAACAGACTGGCTAAAAATCAACATTCGTAGCATTACCAAAAAGATCGAATTCCTCACAATGCGATGATTATCGAATATTAAGCTTGATGTGTCATGTCCTCAAAACTTTTTTCAAAATTATACGATTGGGAACACGAGAGGCTCTGTTTGCTTTAAATGTGTTAACGCATACGATGTAGAGACATGAATGTAGATGTATATGCATGTTTTATTGACTATCGAAAACCATTTGACTGTGTTAACCATCAAAAGATGATCGAAATTCTGAGAAAAACTGGAGTTGACGAACAAGACTGCGAATTATTTAAGAACTAAACCGGCACCAAACAGCAACAATTGAAATAAAACACTCAACATCCGAAGATATACAAATCCGACAAGGAGTAAGACAGGGTTGCGTCTTATCACCCCTTCTGTTTAATTTATATTCGGAGTCTATATTCAGAGAAGCATTGGATCAGGTCCAAGGTGGAGTTAAGATTAACGGAATCGGAATAAACATCAGATATGCTGATGATACTGTCTTAATAGCAAGCAACGCACAAGAACTACAAAATGTAATAAATGCGGTAGTTCACCACAGCGAAATGTTCGGCTTACATCTAAGGCCGTTATTAGACTAGGCAACTGGTGGCGCCACCAAGTTGCTCCACTAGTTACTCAGTGCGTCACGGGGCATTTAAGTAAATGCGACCCATTAGACTACGGCAACTGGTTGCGCCACCAAAAATTGTTGTCGTTCTGGTGACCGATTTCAGCCACCAGACGGGTAACATGATCTGGTGGCGCCACCGAGTTGGGGCATTATGTTATATGTACCCTATTAGACTAAAGCAACTAGTTGCGTCACCAATGGTTCATTTGTATATAATCGAATAATATTTTTTCTATATCCAAACAAGAAATCAAAAATAATGTATTTTAATTTGTGTTTTGATAACTAGTTTTATAATAGAAATCAAAAATACAAGTTATTTTTAACTAAAATTGTCGTTTACTGCCATTTAATATAGTAATTAAATATAATAATATAAGTAATATAGCTATGTTGGAATATAGTTAATAGTAATATAAATAATATTTATGCATGTATGTATATATTATTAGAGATAATTTTTAAATTTATAAAGAACTTTTTTTCTTGATATAAATATAGTTATAATTTATGATTAAAAAAAGCTGACCATATTCACTTCAGTCTATTAATTTTTTGAAACTCTTTATGTCCTTTATAGGCATCGGAGACATGTTCTTCGTTTCTCTATTCTCTTCTATCCATTTCTCTTGGTCTTTCCAAAGTTCTTTTATCTATTTATTTATGTCTATAATGTGTTTATTTATGTATGTATGTGTATGTTATTATATATATATATATTATATATATATATATATATATATATATATATATATATATATATGATCTGGTCTATAAATGTTTCCTTAATCTTCTCTTTCTTCTTTTAACATACCTTTCGATTACATTACCTACTTTGTTATTTTCCTTTGGCCAATTCTATTGATCAGTATCGGTTTAGTTTCGTTTTTTGAATTTTTGATACTAGCAATACCTATTTTAGGTCACCTCAGATTTGCCTTTAGCGGATTGCCTATTGTTATATTGTTGACTCATGTTTCAGTTATTTTTTAGTAAACTACATTTTTTACATTCAAATATAAACATAGTTTTTTTAGAATTAAAGAAAGCTGAGGAACTCTAGCACATTAAATTTTAAAACATTGCAAGCGACTACCATTTTTTCGTCAATTGGAATATATTTGTATTCCATGTACTTGGAGTACATTAAACATGACGTACGTCATCTTTAATGTACTCCAAGAGCTCAAAAAATGACAATTTTAACATTCGAAAATACGGAAAAAATTTTAGTTTGTCCGCATAAAGTTCAGGAAATAACATATAATAACCATAATAATGTAATGTATATAACGTATAATAACATATACATTATATGTATATAAATTTTCCGACTCCTTCTTACTCTCCCTTTGTTTTTTAATAAAAGGGCAAGTCGTATTAATTTTTGCTGGTGGCAATTATCGGCCACCAGTTGCCCATAATTTTTTGTGCGTTAATTTGGTGGCGCCACTAGTTGCGCCACCAGTTGCGCCACCAGTTACCTAGTCTAATACCGGCCTAAATGTTTCCAAAACGAAAACTGTAGTATTTTTAAAGACACCCATAAACGTACATGTGTATGCCAATGGTCAAATAGTAAAAACAGGTAAATTACATAAAATATTTGGGAGCAAATATCAATAGTCAGTGTAATCCAAAAAAAGAAATACTATCAAGAATCGAACAAGCAAGGAAAACATTCATGAGCATGAAAACATTTTTTACAAGATCAGACCTTAGTCTGCAGCTTAGAATCCGAATGATTAGATGTTACGATTTTTCTGTATTACTGTATGGCTGTGAAAGTTAGACAATGGACTCTAAAATAGAAAAAAGAATATATGTCTTTGAGATATATATATATACAGATGAATATTGAGAATTCCATGGGTACAAAGAGTTACTAATGTTAAGGTACTTCGTCGAATGTGTAAACAAAAAGAATTACTACGAATAATCAAAGAGAGGAAAATGCAATACATGGCTGAAAGACCTAAGGAGATGGTTCGACCACTCATCTGCAGAAATCTTTCGCGCAGCAGTTTCCAAAACCACAATTTCCATTTGGATTGCGAACCTTCAAAAGGAGACGGCGCCATGAGAAGAAGAAGATAGTTTTACAATGCCCAAGGTATTGAACAATGATAATGAAAAATATATTAATAATTGGTGGTGTTCAAGAGATATCAAACATTAAAAAGATAAATATAATAACAATATTGGATATATGTAGTGTTATGAAGGCACATTATAGTAATATATAATTAACTATAAATTTTGGTGACATAATGAACTTTAAATGTCTGTAAAATTTTAAAGAAAGCTTCCTCAAAAATTACACATATAGAAAATAATGTAGAGAATTTATTTAATATAACTCCAATATTCAATTATACCCAATAAATAAACATAAAATAAATAATAACATTAAAACACAACTTGGGCATATATTTCGAAATTTTACATCAAAAGTAGATTTATTCTAAAAGTCACAAGTCACATTTGAAGTGGTTCCAGAGACTTAATATTTGACTGTTTCCTGACACCAAGGAAGTTCACCAATAATGTACAACATTCCTGTTACTAGGTGATATCACTTTATTTAAAAATTTTGTACAAAATCTGTTTTGAACGGTTCACAAATTACTCACAGTGCACTTTAAAAGAAAATATAGTCGGATTACATACAGATTCTGATATAATAAAAATAATATTTTAAGTATAAGTTAGTGTAAGTTTTGAATATATTCAATTTGGAATTTTTTTGGGTTGTCTTTAAGCAGAAGTACCATAATCATTTACTTGTTTTAAGTCCATTATCGTTTCATTAAGTTTATTATAATATCTTCAATATTAATTTCAAAGATAACCTAAAAATTTAAAACTTATATAAAATAAATCTCATTAAACCAAAAAAAAAAACAAATATATTTATAATCTAGAAATCATTATATTAACTTAGCATATGATTCTGCTTTGAAGCATTTAATATAATTGTAAACATTTGTAACGACTATCTTTAATTTCTTCCAATGTAATTGTATATTACATATAATATACTATATACTACATACTGTTTTTCCCGTTATTTTAGGTGTCTGGTTTAGCCTGGAATATACCATTACAGGTTTAGCGGAATTGGTGAGAAAAATTAAAAGGCTAGGATTCCATATACAACCCGAAGATGACACAGAATTTGCGTTTTCAGTTTATGTTCATTGTTATCCCGGTAGATTGCTATCGGTTTGGATATTTATAGTGAATATTAAAAATATTGACTAAACAATATTCCAACTTAAGTGACAATAATAATTATAGTATAATTATAATAAAATAATATAGTATAATTATAATAAAAAAATATTGTTAGTTTTACGATATTAATAAAAAAATAAAGGATTTTGAAAATATATATTTATTAATTTGCTTACTTGTTTTATTATGGTGCTAAATTTTAGGAATTAATGTTAGCCCGAGAGTTGACTGTGGTAGGGACTTTATTTATATTTGAAAAGTTTTCATTTCCAAAGTTTCTTATCTCACCGGATCTTTCTGATAGCGACGGTTTAATGTTATACATGACTGGTGTATTCTCTGCATCTTAATAAGCTGATGTTTTATTAAGCTTACTGAAGCAGGTTATTAGTGTTTTTTTCTTAAATATTTGAACGGTATTAATGGTTTAGCGCTGTTACGATTAATCATTGGTTTCAATCAAATAAACTGCACCATCAATATTTTTTTGGTCCTCTCCGGTTGGTTTTTTGGTTTTTATCAATACAATATTACTGTTTTAACATATGGCAGACTTTATGAATTTTTATTTACAAAGGATCTGATATTTATGCTATATTTTTTAATTTATCTGGGTAGCTATAAGTACCAAAGTGGTTGGAATTGAAGAAACCTCACACTAAAAAGCAACATATTTTAGGAAAGACAAAAATATTATTACTAATAAATAAAATATAGGTAACATCATAGGGGGATATTGTGAATTTTTTATTATTTACTATTATTACTGAACACAAATTAAATGTCATTTTATTATAAATATTAAGGAAAATCATGAATGTGTTGCTTGTGTGAGTCCATTTCAAATAGGTAAAGAAATAATAAATAAGACTTACTCACAATCAATTTAATTTAACTATCAGACGACCGGTTTCGCTTTCTACAATATGCAAAGCATCTTCAGGTCTCGATACAAAGTTAAACAAATGCTGAAATGATAAAAAACCCATATTAGGGTGTTGTCTAATAAAGATAAACAAATTAGATGTTATAAATTACAATAATTATGCCAATATTACATGTCTGTGGTTTTATTTAAATGATTGAGTTGAATAAAAGGTATAAAAATTTTTTTAAAAGGTTTTAAAAAGGTTAAACAGACAAGGTAAGGCCCACAAATTGTTATAAAATCTCTTCTATTGTAATAAATTAATAAGTGAGCAAATAAATAAATAAAATAAAAATTACTTACATGCTGGTACTCTATTAATAGATGGATGGCAGAACATGTTTGAAACTACTTTATATTGTTGAATGGAGAACTCAATACTATTATTGCAGTTGTTTGACAGTAAACAGAAAGTTCTTGAGGAGATAGATTTGATCCAATGAATTTGAGATATGTGTGAGATTGTTTGTTAAATGTAAGTGATGTAATATATAAATTCTGGAATAAGTAACTTTTAATAATACAATAGTATATTACATCACTTACATTTAACAAACAATCTCACACATATCTCAAATTCATTGGATCAAATCTATCTCCTCAAGAACTTCCCGTTTACTGTCAAACAACTGCAATAATAGTATTGAGTTCTCCATTCAACAATATAAAGTAGTTTCAAACATGTTCTACCATCCATCTATTAATAGAGTACCGGCATGTAAGTAATTTTTATTTTATTTATTTATTTGCTCATTTATTAATTTATTACAATAGAAAGAGATTTTATAACAATTTGTGGGCCTTACCTTGTCTGTTTAAACCTTTTAAAAAATTTTTATACCTTTTATTCAACTCAATCATTTAAATAAAACCACAGACATGTAATATTGGCATTAATTATTGTAATTTATAACATCTAATTTGTTTATCTTTATTAGACAACACCCTAATATGGGTTTTTATCATTTCAGCATTTGTTTAACTTTGTATCGAGACCTGAAGATGCTTTGCATATTGTAGAAAGCGAAACCGGTCGTCTGATAGTTAAATTAAATTGATTGTAAGTCTTATTTATTATTTCTTTACCTATTAAGGAAAATATTGTAAAAATAGGTTATTTTAGACATTATACACATTTCCTAATTATTGGCAGTTATATTCTAGTTATTGGCATGTAGTAATTGGCAGTGTACTTAATCATTGGCACCAGTAATTGGCATAATTTTTATATCAAAACTTTGATTCAGCGTTAAAAACTAAACTAAAATATAAGTACTAACGTAACAAACAAAGTGTTATTTATTTATATATTTTTTAAAAATAAATTTTACCAAAGCAATATTTTTTATACTTTATATATCGTCGCCGTGGATGTGAAGGGAGCTAACCAACAAAAGTAAGTTTCGAGACAATGAGCACTTTAGATTGCCATGTCCAGGAAAAAAATACACTTTAGCTTATAACTTTCTTGTTCATTGAACTATTCCTAAAATTTTTTTAGGATTTATTAAACGAAGTGTTACCTACTTTGTACTAAACCAAACACTGATAAAACATTGATTTATATGAGGGTAGAAGGGTTTCGTTCACTTAGCTCCATTCACCACTAGATAACTTTTACAAGTCATACTGTTTTTTGTTGTGTGAAAAGATATTCTTCTTCTTACGGTGCCTATCCGTTCCGGATGTTGGCGATCAACATGGCTATCCTAACTTTGCTTGCTGCTATTCTGAATAGTCCGGTTGTCGATGTATTAAACCACTTTCTCAGGTTTTGAAGCCAAGATATTCTTCTTCTCCCTGGTCCTCTCTTTCCAAATACCTTGCCTGAAGAATGAGTTGCAACAAGCGTATCTCTGTTCATTCCTCATAACATGGCCAAGATATTCTAGTTTGCGCTCTTTGATGGTGTTAATAATCTCGCATTCCTTGCCTATTCTACGTAGGACCTCAATATTAGTCACACGATCCACCCATGAAATTCTTAAGATACGTCTGTAACACCACATCTCGAATGCCTCGAGTTTTCTTAAGGAAGCTTCGGAAAGTGTCCAGGCCTCTACTCCGTATAATAAGGTAGAAAATACATAGCATCTAATGAGAGAGATTTTTGGTAGCAAGTGGTAAATCATGACTTCTGAAAAGAGACTTTATCATTATGAACGCTGATCTCGCTTTTCCTATGCGTTGTTTTATTTCACTGGAGTGATCCTATTGGCTGTTAATGTTGGTACCAAGGTATGTGTAGCTGTCCACTCTGTCAATTGGATGTTGGTTAACCAAAAGCTGTGTATTTAATATTTCGCGCTTACTGACTACCATGTACTTTGTTTTCTTCGTATTAAGATCAAGTCCGTGTTCTCTACTTATATGTGATATATGCGACATTATTCTTTGCAAACCGTCCAGACTATCTGCAAAAACTACTGCGTCGTCGGCATATCTAATGTTTAGACGCATTCCGTTGACTAATACGCCTTCTTGTAGTTCTCCCAGCGCTTGCTCGAAGATATATTCAGAGTATATATTAAATAACACCGGGGACAGAATGCATCCTTGCCTCACTCCTCTATCTATGGAGACTGCCTCTGTCAATTGATCATCCACTTTAATATTGGCTGTTTGGTTGTAATATAAATTATAGATGATTCTCAAGTCTCTATCATCTAACCCCACTTCTTTCAAGATGTTTATAAGTTTATCATGTTTTACTCTATCAAATGCCTTTTTGTAGTCGATAAAACAAATATACACATCGCAGTTAACATCCCTGCATCTTTGCATAAGCACTTGGACAGCGAATAGAGCCTCTCGGGTGCCTAAGGAATCGCGGAATCCAAACTGCGTCCATGATACTTGTTCTTCGCATTTTTTATATATTCTGCCGTGTATCACTTTCAAGAACGTTTTAAGTAAGTGGCTCATTAGGCTAATTGTTCTGTAGTTTTCGCATGTCTTGGCATTTACTTTTTTTGGTATGGTCACGAAGGTCGACTTTAACCAGCTTTGGGGTATTTTTCCAGTTACGTATATGTTGTTGAATACAGTTGTTATCCATTTTATTCCCTGTTCATCCATAAGTTTAAGGAATTCTGCACAAAACTCGTCAGGCCCTACCGCTTTACCAACTTTAGTTCTTTTAATAGCTAACGTGACTTCTTCAATGGTAATCGGGGGTCCTGTTTAGCATTCAGTGTCTTCAATGGTAGTCTGCCTTTCATCTGCAAAAGTTACTTCCACATAATTCTTCCAAGTGTCTAGTTTTTCTTCCACGGTTAACAGTTGTTTTGCCTTGGTTATCTGCCAAACACCCAACTCTTCTAGGTTTGTATAAGCCTGCGGCTTCTTTAACTTTTTTGTGCATATTAAATGTATCGTGTTTATGTTGCAATTGCTGTATTTCCGAACACTGTTTTCTTAGATGTGTATCCTTAGCTATTCTAATAGCTTTTTTGATCTTTTTATCGATTCTTTTTTATAATGACATGTCTTAATCTTTGAACTTTCGCCTCTCTTCATCATATCTAGAATCTCATTTGTCATCCACGATTTCTTCTTAATTTTTGGTGGTTTGAGAAATTTCTCTCGTATGTCTTTTGAAACTGTATGTAACTTTTCTAGCTCCTGGTCCATTACATCCGATTGAATAACGGTATTTAAATTGTTCTGTATATACCGTTTTACACTATGTTCTGTGTGTTGGTCTTTTAATAGCTTGATGTCGAATTTTGGATTGAACTACGTCTAACCTTCTTTAGCCTGAGCCTAATTTTGCCAATCAGTGGGTTATGGTCTGATTTGATATCAGCTCCTGGGTATGTCTTGACTGATGTTATGGTGTTCCAAAATCTTTTATTAATCAGAATGTAATCTGTTTGATTTCTCACTATGCGGCCTGGAGTATCTTGAGGTGATTTCCATGTGTATAATCTTCTGTGTGGGAGTTTGAAGTAAGTGTTAGTAATCACAAACTCTTCTTCTGCTACAAATTCACCCAGTCGGTCTCCTCTCTCATTTCTTTCTCCAAGTCCAAATTGTACTATGAATTCTCCCGATTGTCCCCTACCAATTTTGGCATTTAGATCACCCATAATCAAAGTTAAATCCTTTCTGGGGAGGCGTTTTAAGATGTTCGTTAGTTCCTTATAAAATGCTTCACTTATCTCGTCCGGTTTGTCAGCTGTAGGGGCATATACCTGGATAATGTTGGATATAATTGGGTAGGT